TTACAAATATCACTGTTGCTGAACATTGTTGGTGGTGAACGTACTAAAACCATCACCTTTGTAATTCTTTATCAAAGATCTAAGAGAACCCTTGTGACCCAAGGGAACTGGACGTACGTACCAAACTGGTACTGAACCAATATAAAACTGTTGTGCCTTCTTTACTTTTCTGTTAATCTATTCCATTCTTGCTGAAATTGTTCATTGTGCAAAACCTAGTCGACTAAACTCACACTTAGTCAACTAAAATTTTAATTGGCTATAATTCACCCCTCCCTCCCCCTCTTGTACTTTCGCATGAGTGATGTAATTCTCTTCTAGTTCTATGATTGGTGGTTAGAAGCACAATTTGTGACATCTGTAGCGCATCCAAATCTTCATCGGTAATGTTATCTCAAAATATATCTCCCTTGACATCACCTGCAGCCCCTTAGATAGAAAAAAAACAATAATAAAAAGCTTTCGAAATGAATAAACGAAAAATCAAACAAAAAAATAAAATGCAGCACAAATACCAGGATCACCACCATGAGTAACTCCCTTAATTTTTGTTTGGTCACCTAGCGTGTTTTCTTGATACACATGCTCGACAAAGGTAGGAACATCATCATATTGATAGCCGTCATGGTCGCCAACACCAGATTTATTGGCATCAGATATGCAGTGACGAATCTAATAAAAAATAATAGAATAATATTTAGAGATGACATAACTGTGGAGTGTTGTAATTGTATCATTAAAACAGTACCTTAGAATCAGGAACCTCATCCCTCGTTTTCTTGGTTTCCTTAATATTCAGAAAACCAAATATTTTTTAAAGGAAGAAACTACATATTTGTTGAGTGTCGTAAGTGCATTAGTTAGGTACAAAAAAATAAAAATAAAAATAAAAATAACAACCATGGGTATAACCAACCATGTTTTTTCCCAAGCATACCTCTGATATTGACCACTTTCAATATTTGAAAATCATCTTTGTTGATACCATGATTATTGGTATTTGAGAATATGAAATGATGTACAATTTTTAGGATCGAAATAATCTTGTGTCATGTAGAAGCTAGTAAAGAAACACTTGAACGACGATAAATCAAATCATAGAAGAGAAATATACCAAAAGAGACACAAATATTTTAACGTGGTTCGGCCAATTAACCTACGTCCATGGACGGAGATGAGCAATCCACTATAATATGAGAGAGTACAAAATATCGAGAGAACAATCTCATGAAGAGGCAAACACAAGTGACACACTAACACTTGTCCCGTAAAGTTTTATCCATAAACATGACACTCAAACCTCATATGGCTACATTGTGGATGCTACTGAATGAGAAGGAAGGGTCCTATATTTATAGAAGTCCAAATGTTTTCCTCCGAGAAAAGGGACTATCCAAATATAGGAGATTTATAATTTCCTTCTAGAAAAAGGAAAACTCGATTATGGTAAATATGTTTCCATTTCCTTCAAGAGATAGAAAAACTAAATATGGCAAGAAAATTATGGCAAACACCTAACACAAACACCATTAAGGCCATCTTGAATGCATATTTGTCCGAATTTTATTTCTTTTTCTTGAAGCAATCAAGAAGTTTCCCCCTCATTATAGCCCTTTTTTCATCTCCTAAACAATACTCATTTAGCAACGTATTGACATCTGGTTTTTGTCAAAGACAGTGGCGTCGTCTTCTACACACATCATACCGGTGATAATAGCAAAATGTCCAATGCCAAAGTGCGGAAAACAACTATTAATTTTAACCCACAACTCCCTTTTTCGCCCTAGGATGACTTCCCTCAATAATATACGATATATGAGTTGATTTTGAATTTTAAATGGAGGCAAGTCAAAAAAACAAAAACAAAAATTGAGGCAAGTCCAAGAAGTACACAAAACAGCTATCACAGAACATTTGAAGTTGTGTATCAGTCAAACATTGCTTCAAAATGCTGGCAATATTAGTCTTGGTATGGGAACTAATCCTACTGTGAAAATATTTAACTTCGTATATAGAAGTCGATGTATATGGAAAAACAACAAGAAAGAAATCAGAAACAAAATATTATCATTTATGAAAAAACATCAAAAAGCACATATATTCAGTATTTGTATAAATTTATACTAAAAATATATATAAAGATGTATAAATCAGTGTTGCAATACATCTATAACTTATATAAATCGATGTATAACTTTATATAAACTTGTATATGGATGTATAAAATTAATAGCATTACAGGGAATACCTTTAACTTAACGTTTCTCTCCTTGAATTTGTCGCGAGTAGCAATCGTTTGTTCTTTGGATATACCATCAAGACCACTTTCACTATTATCGTCGATCTTTCTCTTTTTCTATTTAACACCAGGGCCAATATCATCTTCATCAACCATATCAAATTTCAATTTTTCTTTATCTTTTTTCAGGCTGACCACATTTTTTACTCCTTACTCTAACATTCTTATGAAAATTGATAGTATTATTTGTCTGCGTATGGTCATTCGATTGATTTCTTGTTAGAAGTTTTTTGTAGGAGCAGGGGACTCAAAATCATCATTATCGGGGGGCCTAGACATACCCATCCGCTTCCAAATTAAGGGTTGAGGGCATGTCCCCCAGTATTGCAGCATGATCAATCTTAACTCCTTTACCACCAACCTTCAAACGACATTTAGAAGTAGACATTTTCGAGCGCATTTGCTGGAATAAAACAAATAAAGCTTTAACAAGAATGAAGAAAAACACAAACTACAAATCAAAAGAAGAGGCTATGAATATAAAATACAAGCGAATAGTAGCACAAAGCTTTAAAAAGTGAAAAATATATATTAAAGAATAAGAGTTATACTGTTTACCCAAGATCAGAAAGAAAACAATACACTAACAAAAAAAAGAATATTTAAATAAAAAACAGAGTGTAATGACCCGGCCGGTCGTTTCGAGAGTTATTGCCCCGTTCCCTTATTTTTTTGCTCCTTTTGGTGTTCTACAGCTGTTATATGACTAATCGGGTTAGCTGGTTCGGGTCCGGAGAGATTTCAGAGTGAATTCAGACACTTAGTCTCTTAATTAAAAGCTTAAGTTGAAAAAGTTGACTGGATGTCAACTTATATGTAAACGACTAGCTCTGTTAGGTAATTTCGGACTTAGGAGCTCGTCCGGATTGTGATTTGGAGGTCCGTAGTAGAATTAGGCTTGAAATAGCGAAAGTTAAAATTTTGGAAAGTTTGACCGGCAGTGGACTTTTTGACCTCAGGGCCGGATTGGATTTCCGAAAGTTGGAGTAGGTTTGTGGTGTCATTTATGACTTGTGTGCAAAATTTGAGGTCAATCGGACGTGATTTGATAGGTTTCGACGTCGTTTGTCGAATTTAGAAATTTCAAAGTTCATTAGGCTTGGATCCGTGTGTAATTCGTGTTTTTGATGTTGTTTGAGGTGATTTGAGGGTTCGACTAAGTTTGTATCGTGATTTAGGACTTGTTAGTAAGTTTAGTTAAGGTCCCGGAGGCCTCAGGTTGTTTTCGGGTGGTTAACAGGCTTGGTTTTGAATTGGTGAAGCAGCTCAAGTGTTGCTGCTACTGGTGTAATCGCAAGAGCAGCAGAAGCGACCAAGGGAGAGTTGAGTAGAGGACGCAGGTGCGAAGATTTTTCCCGCACTTGCGATGGTCAGAGAAGCGGGCAGAAGGGCGCAGATGCGGGTTGGATATGCAGCGATGTAGTTTCTGCACCTGCGATATGCGCAGATACGATTAGTGCTCGTAGAAGCGGAGTCAGCTGGTTATGTGGAATTCCGCAGAAGCGGAGGTTTTACCGTAGAAACGGTTTTGCAGATGCGGATAAGTGGCCGCAGGTACAAAAAGCCTAGGCAGAATATTTAAAAACAAGGGTTCGCGATATTAGTCTCATTTCAACATTTTGAACTCGGATTTGGGCGATTTTGGAAAGGATTTTTGATGGGATTATCAAGGTAAGCTTCTTGTACTCATTTTTATCGTAAATCTTGTTTCCCTATTGATATTTCCACCTAGAATGTGTGGGTTTGAGGTGAAATTTGGGGGGTTGAGGTTAGGGATTTGGAAAATGAATTTTGGGGATTTGAATGACCATTTGGTGTTGGATTTTGGTAAATTTGGTATGGTTAGACTCGTGAATGGATGTGCTTTCGGGTTTTGTAACTTTTGTCGGATTACGAGTCGTGGGCCCGAGGCCGGGTTTGAGCTAATTTTAGATTTTGGCTATAATTTAGTATTTTTCTTGTGGAATTGATCCATTTAGCCTATATTTATTGCATTGTACTGCTTGTGGCTAGATTCGGGACGTTTGGAGACTGATTTGAGAGGCAAAGGCATTTTGGAGTAGATTTTTTATCGGATTGAGGTAAATAACACTTTCAAACTTGGTTCTAAGGGTTCGAAACCCCGAATTATGCATTATGTAATTGGTACTGAGGTGATGCACATGCTAAGTGACGGGCGTGCGGGCATGCACCATGGGAATTATGACCTGGTTGATTCCATGGCACTGTGTGGTGGTTCCATTTGGTCGTTATCCGTGTCTTCATTATGTGATAAAGTAATTGAGATGTTAATCGTGCTAGATATCATGTTTAGGCTTTATGCCGGTACTGTTGGAACCCATAGTGGTCATTTATTGATGTCATCCTACTGATTTCATTAACATTTCGTGCTCAGTCATATCTATGCATCCCATATCATATCTCAGTCCACTACAAGAAAATAGATCTACGGCCACATTTAATCAGCGACATGTGAAAAAAAATGTCGAAAGAAGAATCATTTTATGACACTTCTAAGAAACTGTGGTAAATTCAATGACATTTGATTAAAAATGACACAGTCATTGCGACCTTTAATTGAAATGTAGCTATATGAGTCGGTATTTAATGACATTTATATCTAATGAAGGAAACTTGCTTACATTTATAATTATTAAGCTAAAAATATATAGGCCTCGTCTACTATTTTCATTAAAAATCCTACCCCCAATCTTTTCTCTTAAAACTGTGCCTTCAACATTTCCATTTCCTCATACCCAAATAACTGATACCGTCATCTCATATTCTCAAAATTGATCGGACTACAAATCACATTCTCAAAGTTCAAAGTCGCACTCGATTAGCGATAAGCAAATCTCAGTGTGACACCAAAAATTGAAAAGGGAAGCAACCAGGTCGGTCTTAGATTGTTCTAGAATTCTAAACATAACAGATACTACTGATACTTCTTAGGCTTTTGATCGAGGTTAATAAGGTGCATTAAGTATTTTCTTTTTGTGATTTTCGTTCTATTATGTTCACTGGATTGTATTTCCTTCCTTTAAAATAGTTGCCCTTTCGTTTATTATGATGTATTGAAGTTTGTTTTTCTTGGGAAGTGGTAGATAGGTTTATTTATGAATTTAACAGTTCTCTATTTATGTTCAAGATATATGGCTATTTTGGAGAGATGAAATTGAATCATTTTGGGGATAAAGCTTTAGTGTCTGCACCTTTTTTCTTTTAATGTCATTGTGTATCGCAGTTTTTATTTCATTCCAGTGGCTGATTATTTCTTTTATTGGATTTTGTCTATTCTTACATCTTTAATATGATTGTTTTACTATCATGTTGTTATAGTTCATGCTTGTTACACTCCTTCTTAGTCCATGTAAATTATTTAATTAGTTGATTAGATTTATAGGTGCTAATAGAGGTATGATGAGTGTAGAAAGGTACTTGCTGGTCCAAATTACAAAAATCTTGCTTGGATAAGTCAGAAACTGAACTATGCCTTACAGGAAATATCACGGTTTTGCATTTAGTTGGGTAAGATTACATTTATGTCCGATAGAACAATCTTTTAGTATGATAGAATAACTTATTGATACCTATATGCCAAAACCTTAGTAGACAAACAAGCAAGATTATGCTTCCTTGACACATAAATTCTTATTATCAGTTCACCAGAGGAAGAAAAACTTGGAACTATAGCACCAGATAACTAACCTCATCGACTTATAATGTTGGATTCCTCACAGGAGATGACATTCTGCTTTTCAGTAAGAATATGGATATTACTCTGTATTTCTAGGAGAAAAATGACCTCTATAGCATGATCATTAACCAAATATGGCCTATGAATTTTAGTTGATTGTGGCTCTCATCCGCAGGTCACTCAAGAGGATCATCTCCTTAAATCGAGATAAGTAAATATCTAGTTTGTATTACCTATCAATACCTCAAGACGCTTCCTTGATTGGTTAGCCCTAAAATGCAATACTAACAAGATTACCATGCAGGTGCTAAAAATGAGTTACGTTAGGAGCATACTCAAGGTCTACCGGCTCGTCAAAGGTATCCTCTTCACAATATCATTAAGATAAAGAAAAATTCTTGTGGTTTACTTGCGAAAAGGGTAGCAGTCTATCCAAATGATTATAACAAACATCATTTAAGCCTATAACTGAAATGTCATTCTTAGTTAAAAGGGATTAGGAAGAGGAAAGGGACAGAGAGAACTTCTCATTCTGTATGTTAATTAAACAGATGTAGGTATGTTCAAGCACCTTTTGCATTTTCTTACTTTATGGTACATATTTACATTGTGGCTCGTATTTGAAGACTTGAAGTTTCTTATTGTTTTATTTTCTTTGTGATAAGCAAGTCTATTCTTCATTTTTGTTTGTATGATGGAAGTTTTTTAAGCTGCACGGATTCTAGCTTTGCATGTGATATCATATGCCATATAATTCTATAGAAGTGGCTTGCTAAATGATTTTTGTTACCTTATATTTTTAACTTCTAATTGTTGTTTTTTTATTGTTTGGTTTTATGTCAGGTTGATATGAAAAAATTGGAGTCAAAAAGAAAATACTTTTGTGCAAAGCGTGTCGACACAAAGATTTCAATTGCCTCTTTATATGAAGGCTCATCGAGTAAACTGTTGTGAATTAATATTTTTGTAGTCAGCATTGGAGTTTATTTATAGTTAGCATAGCTTGTTCTGAAGATGTACAAGGGAAAACTTTATATTTTTGAGAACCACTATTGAATGGTGTTGTAAGATTTTCAAAAATAATGTGTACGTGCGTCTTTTGTTTTAATTAAAAATTCTTTTGTTGCGTATGACATTGTAGTATCAAAATTGTATGAATGATTGTGTTATTAGACAGAAATTATTAACTTCCTTCAACTATATAAAGAAAAAAAGCTATTGACAAAAGAAGATTTACCGACATTTTGCATGTATATTTAGAAAGAATGAATAAGATTGCCGACATTTCTTTATATGTTGCAATATATTAATTTTGTGCTCAAGCTGGTGACATTTGATAAAAAGTCAGTATATAAATGTCACTATTTATTTGCCAACATTAATGTAAATGTCGGAAAATTCCCGACATCGAAATTTACGACGTTTGCTATAAATGTCAAATAAATGTCGGTAAATAATTTTGTGACATTATATGACTCAAAATGACATTTAAAAATGTCGTCGTAGGTCTATTTTCTTGTAGTGGTCTCTATTGTTATTTATTGATACATCATATCATTGTTTTCGGGCTAGTTTCATGACATTGTGAGCCCGTGAGTTAGACTGGAGAGATTGATGACTGAGTGAGGCCGAAAGCCTGATTATGAGTGGCAGTTATGGGATCGGGCTGCACGCCGCAGCGGTTATATTGATTTATGATAGAGCTTGGGCTGAAGAAGCCCCTCTGGAGTCTGTACACACCCCTAGTGAGCGCGATTGATATTATTGAATGATGGATCTTCTCTGGACATGGATCTTTTCCGAAACATGATATACTTGGAGATGGATCTTCTCCACGGGCTGGATTGGCCCTCCTCGGTACTGGGTGACTGATGGTCAGTGATGTATATATTCTGGGATGGATCTTCCCTGGGCCATATGAGCCATATACAGTACCGAGTGGTTGAGCATTTTAGAGCGTAAGCACATAAGGCTGTCAGCATAGCGCATCACATACAGTATGCACATTGGCATGTAAAAGTACAAGAGTTATATTCTTCACATTGTTCAGATTTGATCTCTTTAACTGTTTTGAACTATCCATTTAATTTGAAAGCATGCCTACGTTTTTGCACTGTTACTTCTATTGTTAATTATATCGATTGAGTTCGTCACTACCTTTTAGTCCAAATGTTGGATTTGTTACTTACTGAGTTGGTTGTACTCACGTTACACCCTGCACCTCGTGTGCAAATCCAGGTGCTTCGGGTCACGGATGTTGCTGATCGAGGAGTCAGGATTTGGAGACTATCGAGGTAGTTGCATGGCGTTCGCATGCCTTGACTCTCCTTATTTATTTCTATATGTACTTCAGTTTTATTCCCTAGATCTTATAGTAGACTGTATTCTGGTATAGATGCTCATGTACTCTATGACACCCCGATTTTGAGATAGATTGTATCGTATTTCAGATTGTTTCTATTTCAAAATGACTTTTCTTCAATATTGATTGCTTCCGTCTTTATTTTCAAAGTGTTTACTGTGTTGAGTGGTTGAGTAGTGGCTTTCCTAGTTCCACGATAGGCGCCATCACGACGGTATATTTTTGGGTCGTGACAAGTTGGTATCAGAGCCTAGGTTACATAGGTCTCACGAGTCATGAGCAGGTTTAGTAGAGTCTTACGGATTGGTACGGAGACGTCTGTACTTATCTTTGAGAGGCTGTCGAACCCTTAGGAAACTTCACATTCTTGAATTCTTGTTGTGCTAATCTATTGATTCTGGTAACTAAAATTCTGTTATTCTATTCTACAGATGGTGAGGACACGTACTACTGGGCAAGATGGACAACCACCAGTACCACCAGTCAGGGCCGCGAGAGGCCGAGGTTGCAGTAGAGGCCCCGGTAGGGGTAGAGGTGGAGCTCGTACAACAGCTAGTGCAGCACCTGCAGATCCACCAGTTGCCCCAATTCAAGATCAGGTCCTAGTTGTGGATGAGCCAGCGAGACCAGCTCAGGCACCAACTGTGCCCATTGTGATTCCAGGCCTTCAGGAGGCCATAGCTCATATTCTAACCGTATGCATTAGCCTTGCTCAGGCCGTCTCTGTTTCCGCCGCAGCGGCCGATTCTCAGGTGGGGGGAGGCTCAAACTCCCGCCACCTGTACACCAGAGCAGGTGATGCAGGGACTCCAGACACCGGGGGGATCTATCGGCCCAGCCGGTTGTAGCTGCTCAAGACTATGTGGTTCATGTTATGCCTGATGATGAGCAGTTTAGATTGGAAAGGTTTGGGAGACTCCAGCCTCCATCTTTCGGTGGTATAGAAGTGGAGGATGCACAGGCTTTTTGGATAAGTGTCAGAGGATGCTCCGTACAGCAGGTATTCTAGAGACTAGTAGGGTCTCATTCACTACTTTTCAGTTCTATGGGGCTGCCTTCACCTGGTGGAAGGCTTATGAGAGGCGTAGGTCGGTCGGTGCAACGCCACTTACTTGGCAAGATTTCACTGTTCTTTTCTTGGAGAAGTTCATGCCGCAGTCTTGCAGCGAGGAGCTGCACAGACAGTTTGAGCAGTTGCGTCAGGATGATATGTCCGTGACACAGTACGAGATGAGGTTTTCTGAGTTGGCCCATCATGCAGTCTGGTTAGTTCCCACAGATAGGGAGAAGATCAGGAGGGTTATTGATGGCCTCACATTTCAGCTGCGGGCAGTGGCGGAGGCAGGACTTTTGCTAAGGGGGTTCAAAAAAGGAATAAGCTAAAAAAATTAATGAGATTGTAGCTAGTGGGAATTGAACCAATGACCTCATAATAGTTTTGAATCCCCTTGACCACTAAGCCATGCTTTTGGGCTATGTGAAGGGGATTCAAAACATAATATGTAGAGGTAAAAATCAGATTTTTCCTTATATACACAGTGTAATTTTTCGGCAAAAGGGGTTTGGGTGAACACCCTTGCGCCCTCCTAAATCCGCCCCTGGTTGCGGGTGCTTATGACTAGAGAGAGGGTATCTGGTGCTACGCTCGAGGACGTTGTCGACATTGCCCGACAAATTGAGATGGTCCGCAATCAGGAGTGGGTTGAGAGGGAGGCCAAGAGGTCTCTTGGATCAGGTGCTTTTAGTGGTGTTCCCTCTAGAGGTCAATTCCACTACGGTAGGGGTCGTCCTTACACGCATGCTCATACGGCTCGCCCAGTTCACCGTGGTGCATCATCTAGCCAATGTTCTCATAATTCTCATCAAGGTCACTCATCTCTCAGTGCCCTTCCAGCTCAGAGTTCGTCTCATGCACCATCAGCTCAGGGTTCATCTATGTCGGGGCCTTCTAGCAGTTATCCCAGTTCTCGGCGCTCCCTTCAGTCCCCACCGCTATTCGCAGGGAGATGTTGCTTTGAGCGTAGAGTTTTGGGTCATATCAAGAGGCATTGTCCCCGCCTCTTGGGAGGTTCAGCCTAGCAGAGAAGTCAGCTTACTACTTCAGCACCAGTTACTTCACCACCCGCCCAGCCAGCTCGGGGCGGAGCTCAGTCAGCTAGGGGTCGCCCTAGAGGAGGAGGCCGATCAGGTGGTGGTCAGGACCGTTTCTATGCACTCACCGCCAGACCAGATGTTATTTCTTCAAACATAGTGATCACAAGTATTATCTTAGTATGTCATCGAGATGCTTCTATATTATTTGACCCTGGTTCTACCTATTTATATGTATCATCGTATTTTGCCTATTATTTGGATATTCCCTATGAGTCTCTAGTTTCGTTTGTTCATGTATCTACGCTGGTGGGTAATACTATTGTTGTGGACTATGTATACTAGTCGTGTGTAGTGACTATTGGGAGATTGGAAGCTAGAGTTGAGCTTTTGCTGCTTAGTATGATTGATTTTGATGTGATATTGGGTATGGATCGGTTGTCACCATGTCATCTTATTTTGTATTGTCACGCTAAGACTGTGATGTTGGCGATGCCGGAAGTACCACAGATTGAGTGGTGAGGTTCCTTAGACTATGTTCCCAGTAGAGTGATTTCATACTTAAAGGTCCAGCGATTGGTTGGGAAGGGTTGTCTTTCTTATTTGGCCTTCGTGAGGGATGTCAGTGCAGAGATCCCTACTATTGATTTTGTTTCGATGGTGAGAGATTTTCCGGATGTATTTCCTGCAGACATGTTGGGCATGCTGCCCGATAGGGCTATTGATTTTGGTATTGACTTGGTTCCGGGCACTCATCTCATTTCTATTCCTCCGTACCGTATGGCGCCGACTGAATTGAAGGAGTTGAAGGAGCAGATTCAGGAACTCCTTGATAAGGGGTTTATTAGGACTAGTCTGTCACCTTGGGGCGTGCCTGTTCTATTTGTGAAAAAGAAGGATGGTACTATGAGAATGTGCATTGATTATAGACAGTTGAAGAAGGTCACAATCAAGAACAAGTATCCTTTGTCGCGTATTGATGATCTATTTGACCAGCTTCAGGGAGCGAGGGTGTCCTCCAAGATTGATTTGAGGTCTTGGTATCACCAGTTGAAGATTCGGGACTCGGACATTCTCAGGACAGCTTTCAGGACTCGTTATGGTCATTATGAGTTCCTCGTGATGTCTTTTGGGCTGACCAATGCCCCAGCAGCATTCATGCATTTGTTGAACAGTGTGGTTTGGTCTTATCTCGGCTCATTCGTTATTGTGTTCATTGATGATATCCCGGTGTACTCTCGTAGCCAAGAGGAGCACACCCAGCATTTGAGGGTTGTGTTACAGCGGTTGAGGGAGTAGAAACTTTATGCCAAGTTCTCCAAGTATGGGTTTTAGCTCAGTTCAATGGCGTTCTTGGGGCACGTGGTGTCCAATGAGGGTATTCAGGTGGATCCGAAAAAGATAGAGGCGGTTCAAAGATGGCCCAGACCGTCCTCTGCTATAGAGATTCGGAGCTTTCTTGGTTTGCCTAGTTATTACCGTCGCTTCATGCTGGGTTTCTCGTCTATTGCATCGCCCTTGACCAAATTGACCCAAAAAGGTGCTCCTTTCATGTGGTCCGATGAGTGTGAGGAGAGCTTTCAGAAGCTCAAGACTGCCTTGACCACAGCTCCAGTTCTAGTTCTGCCATCAGCTTCTGCTTCTTATACAGTATATA